GACAGGCTGGTATTTTTCTAGTCTACTTCTCTCCTCTATGGCTGGAAGCATAAAGTGTGTTTTGCCAACAGCTTGAGAATAAGTCTACATGACAATGTATACCATAGCTTCTCCACTAGGAGGTGGCATTTCTGTGGAAGGCTGCATGGAGCTGTTAAATACTCAAATGATGTTAGAGCTACAAGGGACTAATTTACAATGAGCCCCTCACTTTACAAATGAGGAAACTAAAGATTCCATTAAGTTACTCAGCCCTTTGAATGGCAGATCAAGATTAGTAACACCATGGTCTCTTGACTCCTACCCAGGATCCTCAGAGCATCTATTCAGTACCCAAACTGCAAAGCTATGCTGTAAAATGCGAGAACAGAATCCCTGACTTCCAAAAGCATACATGCTCACTGTATCCAAATCCTACCCGTCTCTCAAGCCTTAACCGTGAAGTGGCCTTCAAGCACTCATGTCCATGCTGACTCCCTTTTCCCTAAAGCCCTGCACCACTTAGACTGCGCCAAACAATTAACACTCAATCATACACTGTCATATTCAGACTGTTTTGATTTTTATTTCTTTCCCCATATTAGTTTGGCCCCTGAACTCAAGGAAATTAAAACAATGTATAGTTTGTATAGTCCCAAATACCTGATACACAGTAAACACCTGTAACTGACCTGTTATGTCCATTCTATGCCTTCTTCAAAGGAGCCAACTTTCTCATAGTAGATAAGTGCTGCTGGTCTCCTGAAGCAAGTGCTTCCTGTATGCTAAGCACTCTGCATCTATTTTCACTCAGTATTCATTTTCATGAAGCCCACTGCCTAGGAGAAAGCCCTCCCTATCACAGTATCTATCACTCTCATCTGTAGTCATAGGTACTGTTTGGAAAAGTGAAAAGCTATAAAGCCTTTCCTTGTGTATCTATAACATGTCCAAAATATCAGTAAAATTAAACTCTTCTTAAATTATATCCAAATCTTCTATTCTAATGATGATTTGAATCTAAAGAGGTCACAGAGTTTATATGTAACTGTACCAAGGAAAGGTGTTAACTCTGACAAACTCCTTCTTAAAACATAGGTGTTAATCCAGACTCTAGAGAAGCTCTAGATTCTTTTCTTTGGTGGAGCATGGAGATCAAGAGAAGCTTCTTGTGGCAAGCCAAATTCAGTCAAATTAATTTGCAGTCTTTACACCCCCCACTAGAGCCTCCACAAACTCCAGAAGCACAGCAATAAATGTGAAGACCAGTCAGTCTAATGCAATCAAGACAAAGAGGACAGATCTACATCCAAGGACAAATCTACTCGCACCTGAGGGTGGGGGCAATATGAACCACAGGCCTATTTACAGTTTAAAAGGTCAACAGGATGCCCCCCAAAAAGTCCTGGTAATACTGCCAATTTTAGGCTAAATGAAACTTAGAAAGATCCTAATTACTCTGTTATGGCCATTTGGCAGTTTCCAGAACAGGTAGGAGAAAAGAGCTAAAATCTACTGAACTGACCAATCATGTATCAGGTGCCTTACTAGTGTTATTTTATTTAACTTATGTTAAGAAAGGGATTTTTTTAATCTGGTATATAGGATCAGAGTTCCTCCTTCCTGAGGGCATTCACAGAAACAGAACTTTTGGAAAGTCTTCAGCTGTTGCTCCTACCAGCGTAACTGTGTTTTTGGTGTACCTGTTGATAGCAAATTACAGACTAATAAAACCCCTAGGAAAAACAGGATTTTACTCATGTTGAAAATGCTGACATCCACAAGAAGGGACATATACTCCAGGAGTTAGAGAATATGTCAGATAGCGCCTTCTTTGTGGGACAGTAATTGCCTTTATTCTCCCAACTGCACAATCAGACAGTAAGTCCCTCCTAACAATTGCTCTAGTTCAGACCACAAACTAAAAAGAAATGGCTCAATTCACATACTGAATGTACAAAATGCCCCTTTTGAAGAGCAAAAGCAAGACAGTGGTCAGAGGTCCTTAAAATTGAACACAACTACTTTTTCAAAGAAACCAAAGAAAGAAAGAAAGAAAGAAAGAAAGAAAGAAAGAAATAGGAGGAGGGGAAGAGTTTGGATAAGGGGCATAAAGAATAAGTATGATTTGTAACAATGAATATGCTAATAAAAAAAGAAAGTAAAACAGAAAGAAAAAACTATAAAAACAAATGCCAATAAATAAATAAAATATGACATATGAAATCAAAAGTGCTTTATTTCTGAGGATGTAAGCATTCTTTCTCTTTAAATTCAAGCTATAAGACTTTATGCTTCTTCATGATATGGCAAGCATTCTGTCTTCTAAGTACTATCATCTTACATTTGTCTTGTGTTTACACAGCAATTTCATATGCGTTAACTCATTAAAATCCTGCATAACAATTTAGGTAGGTAGTATGATACTCTGCCCAGCTATTAAGACACTAATTACTATTGATTTTATAGGACTGTATGGGATTTCAGAACTATGAGTCCACAAATACAAGGGAGAGATGTGTTAGATGTGAAGAAAATGAAAGAAATGTGCCACCTTCCTGAATCTTAATATTGATGCCAAATGGTTCTCTGGAGCTTCTAGAGATAAAGGATCTCCATTATCTCAAGGGCCTGAAATTAAATGCCTCAAAAACTCTGCATATGCTCAGTGCTCTCTGGTAATTAATGGGAACAAAGTGCTTCTATTATCCATGTCACAGGCATTAGCCCAGAGACAACTAAATTATTTCTAAGCAAGGCTACAGGCTGAGAAAAGGGCTAGGTTTTAGCCTGTGTCATGACCACTCCTCCTCTGCCTCAATCTGCTGTTTGTGGGGGGAGTCGTTAAAAAAAAGTAGTCAGTTCAGATACACTTACTGGCCAAAGGTCAAAAAAAAAATAGCGGGGAGGAGTTTTTTGTTAAGAAGCAGAAACGTACAGCTGTGTTGTAACCATGTGCGTAAAGAAAGGCTTAGGACGTGCCAGACATCTGAAGCAGGAAACACTGTGGTTTCCTTTCTGCTAGGGATTCCCCTTTGGGTTAGGCAAAAGGTCAGGAAAGATAAAGCCCCTTTCCCAATGTCAATAAAGCCCAAGGATGATGGAAATTCTGGGAATTATAGGGGTTCAAAAATGCTATACGACAATGGTACTCAAATAATTCTTTATGTAAACCCACAATAATGTCATCTGTTTTTGAGGGCAACAGGCCATGTCTAATGTCTAATAGGACATCAGGGGCTAGCCACTTAACTTACTTGGTTAAGGCATGGTGCTGATAAAACCAAGATCAAAGGCTCAGATCACTGTACTGGCCAGCTGCCAAAAGTAATAATAATAGGGCATCAGGTGTCCTGTTATTTAATAAATACCCCTTAATGATAGCCATCATGCTGAAGGAAAAAGTTACAACAGGTAAAATTACACAGAGAACAAATTCAGTGAGTGCTTGCTTACAGAATGGTCCCTAATTGGGGAACAGCAGCAGTAACCACAAACTGAAAATCATTTTATCTATTCTTCCACCTTATAAGTACATTTTTTCCTACTGTTTCATACCTCACAACAGCACTTTTATATTCATTACTTTACTTATCTATAATTAAGATTCTTCTGAATCATGAAGGTTTAAAAAGATTTTTCAGTTGACTCTTAAATTCATCAAGTAAAGAGGCCCTCTTGCTTCATTTCTTTTAATTAAACTAGCCTGGAGACAGAAATAAGCAATTCAAAGTCTCTACTGGGAACTGTCTTCCATTTATTACCGTATCACTTGCTCCTATTTATTGCCTCCAAATAACTATCTAGTTTCATTCCATTGAACACTTGAACAAGGAAAAAGAGGAGAGACATGAAGAGTTGCAATTGTTGTACTACTACTTCCTGTTGTAGAATTACGTCACTTTGAATCTTATTCCATTTTAGGATATTTCTCTTCCAAAGTCTTGACCAATGATAGAACAACTTCTGTTCCACCATTCCTTAACTTTCCTTCATTTATTTAGTTTACATTCTTCAAGAGCCAGTTACATTTCCTGTACCCTTCTTTTTCATGCCCTCAGGTACTGTTTTGCTGGGTAAAAATACTCTTATCTTTCTGTACAGATCAATTCTTCAGTCTTAAATAGTTCTTGTGGTTTTTCAAAGGTGCTCTGCACTTGCAGAACCATTTTGTGCTGCCCCCAAAGTTTCTCAAATAGAGATGAAAAAGGCTGTTGCCCTTCTCCTTATTCATTCTATGCACACTTCCACCTCCCTGTCACCCAAATGTCAGTTTTTATTATTCTAGTTTCCCTGTCAGCATCAAATTTCTATTCATTATCACTAACCCTAGTCTCTTGCAGCTTTTTCCTCTATCCTGACCTCTTCCTTAAAAGTTTGAAGTTATTTGAACTAAAAGCTATTTCTGACTATTGTTTCTCAAAGACAGCACAATTGTTCAAGACTAAACAGCACTGAATCCATGCTCTCTCTCTCTCTCTCTCTCTCTCTCTCTCTATATATATATATGTATGCTTGTACATATACCTGTCAGTCCTGAGAAAAAAGTCTTAGGAATTAAAAACAAATCACTTCTCTTAATCTTGGACATTAACACATAACTAAATTCCAGCTTTTGAAAATTGTAACTATATACATATATATACACATACATATATATACACATACATACATACACACACATATATGTGTGTATATATATATATACACACATATACACACACACACATATATATGATTTTTGCACCAAGAGAGCTAATGGCATATGCTTGAGTGTTTTATCACACCAACATTTCTATGAGACAGCTGGTTCAGTCCTTTGGCTAACAGCACAGCCAAAATTATTGTTCCAGGCTGTTAATACAACTTTTTGTCTCAATAAGACCATAGCTGGTTATCACATGACTGCTGAGAAAACCACGCCTTCTGGGCAAAGCGTTAGCCTGTTGGCCTCACTAGGTCACGGAAACCTCACAGCACAACACGATACTGCCTCCTTTGGCTGTAATAGCAGGACATACTTCCTCGTAATTTTTCGCCTCCACTCCATGCTTCATGTCCAGGATCACGAGTTGGTCAGGTACCCGCCCTGTTCCTAAGAAAGAAATCAAAGGATATCATTGTGTGGAATATTTAAAATTCCGGGAAATCACCCACCCACCCTCCTTCTCCCTAACCCCTACCCTCTCAATAGAGGGAAACAGCCACAACTCCTCCCCCTACTCAGCTGCAGTAAATTCCTGGCTCTGGCTAAAATCACAAACATTCTGGACAAAGCCTCTATCTGTGTGGGGTGCCGGAAAGCAAAGAGAACATGCTGCTGGTAAAAATCTCTGAGCAGGCAGGACACAGGATACTGCAACTGGTACCACAGAGGAATAGAATAGGAATAGACAAAACACATTGGCTTATTAAAATCGTAAATACTACTCATAAGTCAAAAGAGTGTGAAAATAAGTGGCACAAAAATCAATAGGTAGTGGGCACCAATTTAGGCTGAAAAATGCACATTTCTACATCTGAAATGGTTGGCCTGTCAAATTTTGAGAGGTCATGCTCAATTAGGATTAATCCTAGCTAAGCTTGGATTTTCTTAATATAAACCTGAGTATTGAAAAGAACCTAGGTTTTATCTAATATTCCACTCTAATTCAAACATTCTGATCAATGTCAGACCTATTTAAATAGGTAAATAAAATGTTATAGGGCTATATAACTAAGCCCTTAAAAGAGTTAGAACAGCTCATGAAAAAAACTTTACAATAACAGTACAATTCTCAGGGATGTTTCTAAGAAAGCGAAATGTCTATTTGGGATAGTAGATCCAACAAAGCAATGTTCATATGAGAAAAGTTAATCTGATCAAAGGGAAATTGTAATCTTAAATCACCAAGTAGAAGAAAGGGAAAGACCCAAAGAAGCTAAAGGAAAATGGTTAACTCCAATCCCTTTAATTTACCTGACTATTATAAAATAAAATACTGCCTACATGAAATTAGAAGTTTTGGGAAATACAGTGTCACTTAAGGACAGGGGTTCCTGAGACCATAAGCCACAGAGAATGGTACTTTACCTTTTGTGGCCTGAGAGACACTGGAAGTTTTCTGAAATCCACTGAAGTGAATTCAGTAATAATTACTCATTGAGAACTCACTGGGTGCTTGAACTATGTTAGAGATTTTCATGGGGTATAATCTCTGCCTTTAAATTAATTCAATGGGGAGCCAAGACTACGTACACATAATAACCATGGTGAAAATGCAAAGGAATGTAAAATCTTAAGCCAAAACAACTGGTTCAGCGCTGGCTGTTTAGCTCAGCTATTTAGAGAATGCTGCTGGTAACATTCAGGTCCAGGGTTAGATCCCTGTACTGGCCAGCCATCAAAAAACAAACAAACAAAACTGGTTCAGATAACCCCAGCTACAAGCAATGGTAAGAGGAGGGAAGAGAGGGGCCGGCCTGTCGCTCACTTGGGAGAGAGTGGTGCTAACAACACCAAGTCAGGGTTAAGATTCCCTTACCAGTCATCTTTAAAAAAAAAAAAAAAAAAAGGAGGGAAGAGATGGGTTGTGGGATAGACTTCACTAGAGAGGGAGCACCTGAAGGCAGTACTTGGACAAAGCATTCTAGGCAGTAGGCAAAGCATGGACAAAGAGATAATAAAATAAGAATGTCATGTTTAAAATACAGTAAAGAACTTCTTTTGGACAGACTAGAAAGGTAATTGGAAAGCAAGAGAAATAAGACTGCATAAGTAAAGTTAAGAACTAAGACAAGTCACAGATGCCTTCTGAGCATTAAACCAACAAGTCACCAACCAAAAAACCAAAATGTTGCACCGAGTAGTCTCTTCTCCCAAATCCCACATGTAACTCTGTTTATGACATTGCCCAGAGGAGATGTAATGCAAACTTTTGCTTCTCCTTTTTCATTTAAAAGATGTGAAACCCAAGCAGCTCACAGTCCCACCTAGTCAAAATTATCAATATAACCTCTTCCTAACAAGAGTCTTCTGACTATCTCCCTGTTTGTCACAGCACAGTGTAAGCCAAGTGAAACCATAAAACCACAGACCTCTGGCTGGTCACAGTCCAGATTATAGTCTCTTCCGAAGAACAGTTCAGCCTATCCCCTTAGGTGATATCACAGCCCTAAAGGGTCTCCTTTGTAAAAGATACTTTAGTAATTTCTCTCTATGCATTCCCTGGCAAACAGACAATCCTTTTTTTTTTTTTAAGACTTAATTTTGTTAGGTTTTAGGTTCACAGCAAAACTGAGAAGAAGGTACAGAGATTTTCCATATACCCTTTACTCCCACACATTCATAGTCTCCCCCATTACCAACATCTCCCACCAGAGCAGTACGTTTGTTATAAATGATGAACCTACACTAACACATCATTATCACCCAAAGTCCACAGTTTACATTAGGTTTCACTCTTGGTGTATATTCCAAATGTAATGTTGGGACAAATGTATAATGACATGTAGCCACCATTATAGTATCATACTGAGTATTTTCACTGCCCTAAAAATCCTCTGTGCTCCACCTATTCAATCTTTTACTCGCCTAGACAATCTTTTAAAAGGTGCTCCAAAAACTAAAGGGTATCGGGTTTCCATATCAGAATAAACAAAGAACACAAATGAAACTAGAAACTGAGTGCTGATTATATAGCAGAGGACACTACAGAGTTGGAGAAGATGTGTACTTAATTCAGGGAAAATATTCTGATTACTTACCCTTGCTTTCAAAACATACTTCAAACATATCATAGTCTTCAGTGGTAAAGGCAAATTTCCCCTTGGTTGCATCTTCCTTGGAATACAGAATATGGCCAGCAGAATCTGTGATCTAAAATTAAAAAGTAAGAAGTGGCAGCAAATAACACTCAGAAAGGGAGCTTATAGAAACTGGGGAGACAGAAAGAGACACTATCTGTAAAAGACTGTTGATAAATATTATGATGACTATGTTCCAACTGTCCCCAAAGGCAGAAACTGGATTAGAAGATGAAATCCAAACACAGAAAATTTCATTAATTCAAACAGCCTAACTACACTGCAGGCTAAAATCTGTTACCGCTATAGTATGTCTTACCATACCAAAAAGTTGATCCAACCAATGTTCCAAGTTACATAAATTGGGCTTATTGACAAAAACTCACTTTATAGAATGTAGACTTAGTATCATTACCTATAGAGAGACATGTCACAGAAATTGAAGTGAACAATTACCAAAAGAGTAATACAAAAGGAGAAAGTTACATAAAAACAGATTACTTCTATAAAAAAATCTTGATGGGGCAGGGGTAAGGGTGTAGAATGGAATTAGGACATCTGACCTAAGGACAGAAGGAAAAGACGGCATGCATAGAGAAAAAAAATCTGGGAGTTCTATTCCTGCAAATTTCATGTTAATTATGTCAATGGCTACACATGGTGGGAACAAGACTCAGGGGATAAATAAGAAGATTCTCTTAAAAAAGATATCTTTGGGGGCCGGCCCGGTGGCTCACTCGGTAGAGTGCGGTGCTGATAACACCAAGGCCCCGGGTTCGGATCCCATATGGGGATGGCCGGTTCGCTCACTGGCTGGGCGTGGTGCTGGCAGCACCAAGTCAAGGGTTAAGATCCCCTTACCGGTCATCTTTTAAAAAAAAAAATAAATAAATAAAAATAAAAATAAAGATATCTTTGGGGGCCGGCCCGGTGGCTCACTCGGTAGAGTGCGGTGCTGATAACACCAAGGCCCCGGGTTCGGATCCCATATGGGGATGGCCGGTTCGCTCACTGGCTGGGCGTGGTGCTGGCAGCACCAAGTCAAGGGTTAAGATCCCCTTACCGGTCATCTTTTAAAAAAAAAAAAAAAAAAAAAAAGATATCTTTGGATTCTACAAATGATTATTCCTTTCTGCTAAGTCCTTAGCTTTAGTTCTCCAAACTTAAACTGCTCCATTAGATGAAGGGCCATACATTGGTTAAGTGAATGGCTACATATGAAGTAAGAGAATGACATAGTAATTTAAGAAATCAAATCCCAGGCTTCTTCTCCAGAGTACATGGCTGTCCAGAAGGCACATTTCATCACCTACGACATGAAGCTACTTTGCAATGTGGAACACAAAAGTAGTGGTTTCATTATATTAAACTGGATGTTCTAATGCTTTGTTAAAACTGGATTCTTTTAATAGGTGAACTTTTACAAGAAAAATTGAGTAGCACACATTTAAATTCAAATATTTAAAAGCACTTTATAACAACAGTCATCTCTGAGTAGTGAGATTTTTTCTTTATACTTTATTTTCGTTCAATTTTCTACAAAGGAATACAACACTTATGGTCAAAAATAATAAGAAAGCTATTTTGTTTTGAAAAAACCATTATAACTAAAGAAAAGTGATCAATACTAGAAAAACTTGAAACAATGGGTTAAGAAAAAAGATTTTATGCGGGCTAGCCAGTTAGCTCAGTTGGTTAGAGCAAAGTGTTATAACACCAAGGTCAAGGGTTCAGATCCCCATAACAGCCAGCTGCCAAAAAAAAAGTTTTCTGGCACAATTTCCAAATTCCCTAATAATAACAGCAGTTAATGTTAATCAAGTGTCTTCTGCCATCCAACATCATTCATTAATTTGTCAAGCATTTATGATACTTAGATCTGTACTGGTCACTGGGGATACAAAGACGAGTAAGATAGTTCCTGTCTTCAAAGTGCTTAAGAGTCTAAATGAGGAGGAGCGTAAGAAATGAGACAGCTTCATTCTGGTTTTGGTTTGCATTTCCCTGATGATTAGTGATGTTGAGCACCTTTCATATATCAGTTTACCATTTGTATGAGGTGATGGGATATGTTAATTAGCTTTATTATCTTAATCATTTTACCATGTACACATATATCATATTGTATACCTTGAATATATACAATTTTTATTTGTTATTTATACCTCAATAAAGCTTTAAAAAGAAGAAAAAAAGGAGACAGTTTCACTGCAATTGAAAAGTGTGTGACTAGGGCCGGCCCGTGGCTCACTCGGGAGAGTGTGGTGTTGATAACACCAAGGCCCCGGGTTCGGATCCCATATAGGGATGGCCGGTTCGCTCACTGGCTGAGCGTGGTGCCAACAACACCAAGTCAAGGGTTAAGATCCCCTTACTGGGGCCGGCCTGGTGGCGCACTGGATAGTGCGCCGCTTGGGAAGCACAGCGGCGCTCCCGCCCGAGGGTTCGGATCCCACATACAGACCGGTTCCCGCTCACTGGCTGAGCGAGGCGCGGGAGCAACACCGAGGGTTGCGATCCCGT